TGTTTATTTTTACACAGGATTTGCTCTCTTATTACTTAATTTTTTTTATTTCTAGGGCTGTTCGTTTCCTTGATAAACCGTTGCACTTACTGCGGTGTATCGCTTACTAAGTTACCAAAACCTCGCTGCTTTTTTTTAAACCTCCAGATTTTCCAACAACGCTTTTGGAAATAAATTTGTCCAATGAAAACTACTACGAGACACACTAATTATACCAATATCTTGAATGAGGACTAGAATCCTGAACAAGAAATTCGAACAAGAATGGAAGTTTAAAAGTGTACAGAGTTCCAGTGATATCTGCTCGAGATGCTATTTATTATTGGTATGCCTTGCTTTATGGTTTAGGGGCATGGTCGCTGAAAACCAGCAGTATAAATAAGTTGAAATCTGAACATCCACACATCAGGATCTATAAAATATCAAAGAAAGAAGTACTTAATGAAAAATATAACATCCTGCATCTCATATTCCATACAAAAATCGAAGGCAACGGGGAATGAGTAAAAAACAATATTATTGACCAGAAACATTATGCAATGAACAGATCTAAAGACTATGGGAGATTTCGTAAGCACCCAAGAGGCAAAGACAGATTCTAACACGCTAAGATCTAGTGAATGGATATGCATCTGAAAAAGAATGTAAAAAAATCCTCAACATCATTATGTTATATTATAATTTAATCTTTTCTTACGTGAATTTTACGCGATTTGATTACAGTGATGAGATATCTATTTCAAGAGAGCCAAGGAAGCTGTTACTACTTCAAGTAGAGTGAGTATAAGAGCAGACTCATAAAATTTATTACATCATTCCAGAATTAACATTGTAGCTGTAAAAGATAATATTGCTAATACACTTTTTGCTTACCTTGTTTGCCGTTTATTTCTTTTCGGTGTTTGTGTCTCTCTGTTGACAGAATTGTGTTAATATATTAAATCAGGGGCAAAAGATAACTTTTTATTTAAAAGAAGGAGATTTTTGGCAATTGCTCTCCTTATAAGCATACGGCAGGTGCCAACCCTCATCGATTATATTCATATGCGACACTCAAGTGAATAATGTTAGAAGAGATTTTTTTTAATCCAGTATTTCAGAGGTTAAGGGGACAATGTTTTTAATTGGCGCTTGTTATAACAACGAATTCGTACCAACCCAGTATCCTATACTTGGTTCTTTTTTATATATATATATATTAAAAAAAATTATGTGGATTAATTTTCAAGCAAAGAAAGAAGCGCTCAATTTTTATGCTTAAGATACCTGATTTAATAAACTTTCGCATATAAAAAGAATTGAATAGAACCACATCACAACTTTGTTCAGCCTCGCAATTAAATCTTCAAGAACTCTGGAACCACAGCGCTACATAATTCCACAATTTTGAACTGAACCTAGCAAGTTTCACCGGCAACAATTTACTCGAGAAGGGATTTTATTTAAAACTTCTGCTTAAGTTTTCCCACTATACGACGAAGTAAAAAGTGTTAAGTCACCTCGAATTTCCTGCACCACCGCGCGCTACGTTAGTCGAGCCTAGCCGAGCCTAGCCGACGACGATTTCGGCGGCGACGATAAGAGAATTCAACTAATAAAAGGTCGTCGAGGTCGCTTAAAATATAATAATTTATTGACAAAATTTTTTTTTTTTGCGGATTAAATAAAATGCAACAGGGAAAAAGACGTTTAATGACACTAATATCGAACAAATTGTTTTATTAATCATATACAAAACCCCATCAGGATAGACACATATTAATAAATATATTCGAACGATATGCATATATAAATAGCATATATGGACATAAATAGATACATAAATTAAACACAAATATAAACTACAATCATCTAAAGGAATCGTAACATATTAGTTTGCCAAAAGAAATATCTGGTGGTCGATCAATCAGTGATTTTCCCGCTGTCCTTTGAACCAACTAAATTTCGATGGCCCCAAGCTAGCGTGTACTCTGAGCCGGGTATAAGATGTCGTTTGTCATCCGCGTAAGACAACGCCACCTTATTTTTCAGTTCGACGTACATATCATGTAAATGTGAGCGAAACGAAGACATTTGGCGCAAGATTAGCGTGCCTTCCTCGTGGACAGCGCGCTTATAGTCGTCGAGACTAAGTTCGCGCTGGCTGACCGAGTCAGCAACGCCCTTGGCCTTTTTGGTCAACTCGTTGCCGTCCACATTTACGCAATAAGCTTTCGCTCCCGTACCCAAGAATTCCCACAACGGCCGTCCTGCGTACTCGTCCTTCATTTTACCAAGAACGGACTTGTTTACAGGAATGCCGTGTTGGTTGTTCTCCGAGTAATTAGAAGTATCGAATTTGTCCAAATTTTCTTTCATATCTTCGTAGAAATTTTCGCAAAAAATTTGGACAACGAGGCTGTCGGTATCGGTGTAGAGTAAGACGGCTTTGTCGCCGTACTTAGCCTTTAGATAGCCGTAAAAAAAGTCGTATATGAGAGTCTTGGATATGTCCAAAATGCAAAATCCGGCGTAAATAGGCTTATCATATACGACTTTAGTCCTTTCCATCTGGAGAGCTACTAGATTTTCGCTAAATATGGCGACATTTTTAAAATTAGGTCTCGCGATTAACGCTTCTGCCCCCAACCTTTTCCCAATATTTTCCCAATGGGAAACGAGCCGCACGTCCACCCTTTTGTCCACATTTTCCATCGTTTTTCCAAACACAGCGTTATTCATAAGTTTGAAAAAATCTTTTTCAAATTTATTTTTAGCTGTATTACGCATCGCCGTATTCAAGTCTATGTATTGTTTTAGCCAGGGAGATTGATCGAAAACAAGAACGCGATGGATGCGAACAAGCTTTAAACCGTTGCTTAAAGCCTGTTGCAGATTCCTATAATGCAATACATAATTACGTTTATTGTTTAAATTTGGAATAAGTTTTCTCATTTTGGTTTTCGCTATTGGCGAAACGATGGATTCCGGGCAAAAAGGCAGTTCGTTGTGTGCGTCATGCAGCACTTCCGGATAGTCCAAATCTACTTCGAAAATATAGCCCCTAGGTGAATCGTTGGGGATACGCGTAATATCTAAATTTTGAATTTTGCCCTCCTCCAACCACTCGAAGTTTCCCGTTGGGAGGTATTGTGACATGGCCGCCCCGTTTAAATTGGTAGCGTCCAAGTACATGACGTAAGAAATAGGTTTGGAAGGGTCGTAATTAGGTAAAAATTTATTATTAGCCGCGGCCTTTCTCACACTACACTGACTGACTCCTCCGCGGATACCGTGCTTCAAGAAGTGTATCATGTCCACGTCGGTCAACAGGTCCAGTTCGACCTTTGTCGCCTTCAGGGCGCTCGTCCATGATAGACCCGGTGTCGTATAAAACTGACTCGGGTCCAGACCGTACGTTTTCAGACACACCTCTCTGAAGTTTTCAAAAATATCGGCTAAAAGTAAAACGTCGGATTTTAAATAAATATCTGAATATTCGCCTAAAGTTTTACATTTGAACAAATTCCACACAGTCCAGGCACGCTTGTAATCCTCCCTGGTTATGTTGCTCTTTCGCATGGAGTCATAAAAGTCCTCGTGCGATGGCAGTTTGGTTTCGTCTAATTTTGAAAAAGAATCTAGATACGTATATGGAAAAACGCCCTTCTGTCGAATAAGTTGAAATTCTTGTTCATTTTTAAAAAATTTTTTGACTTCCCGACACTGACTATCGTTCAAATTTCGACTCAATCTGTCCAAACTGGATGCCATAAATCGAAATGAATCTAAAAATCGGAGTTTTAAAAATACCCTTTTCCCTTTGCCTCCTTTCTCCGACTCAATGTTATCGACTAGGACATGTTTCGTAAAGGAAATGTAACGTTCCTTGTTTTGGGCGATGACATCGATCTTTTCCCCTTCTTCAGCCATAACTTTTACGAATAAATGACTGTCGAAACCTAAATGGTGAAAAAAGACAGGGATGTGCCGCGGAACTTTGAAATTCAAGTTGCAAGTGAAGTGAGCCGCACCTCGAAATTCGCCCGTCATATGACAATGATCCCTTACTTTTTCGTCCTCTGCATTAAATGGCTTCTCGCAAATGTGACAAGCCACAGCGTTTCGAAAGCCGGTCTCTTGTTCAAACGATAGAGTGGTCATGGGCACGGAAGTTTTCATGAACTTGTTGTAGAGCGCTTTGCAGTCGCTCTCCAACCATTCAATGAAAATTTTGTGTGCGCCCCGACCTCTGTACTGTTTAAAAGTAGACTGGGAATCGTCAAAGTCACATTTGACATAGTAGGCGAAAGAGTAAGGCTCGTGAATATGAGTTTTGACGGTAAACGATTTGTCGGGATTCGGTTCGCCTTCCACCTGTAAAGGAGTCATGACTGTTTCAAAGTCCGCGTACACAACAAAAGGAACTTTTAATTTCTTTTCAAATTCTTCAAATTTCAGCTTATTCGCGGGAACATCTTTACCGTATTTATCCTTGCGCAATTCGGTGGTCGGAAGTTTGATGGAAATGTGAGTGCAGTCGTGTTCTTTATGACGCTTTAGTTTTTCTTCGTTATAAAAATAAACCAAACACCCATCGCATAAAAACTTTGTAGAGGACCTTTTAGTTAATTGTTTTGAAACCAACCGAGACATACTTCTTATTAAACAATAATGATTTTCTCCATAGTCATTACTAATTAATAATAGGTTTACATGTCTCTCTTTACGAGATTCAGTAAAATGCAAAGGACCAACGACCTCAACATCATTACGGACTTTGTTATAGACTCTCTCGAGGCCATAGACATTGACCGAAATTTCATTAAGTCGTTCAAAAGTGGATATGTCCTTAAGTTTAACGGGAAAATCGATACCTGTAAAATCCAGCTCGTTCTGAAATTCTACATAGTTACTGACCCTGTTAGCGTTATTTGTCCAGTGAATTGGGTGAAGAGCAGCCAAGATCGACCACATAAAGCATTTTTCGTCCGTATTTTGCAAGTTCAAAACAGCTTTTTTGGCTTCGATTTCCTTGGGCAGGTTAACATAGGACGACGCCCTTAGGGGATTGTACTTGTTAATCCCTATTCTAAATGGAGAAGTTCCTCCAACGCCCAGCCTGTAAAAAAGAGAAAGAAATTAGTTCGGAAATATACATTTTTATGAATCATACCGCTGTCCCTTTCCTGAAACTCGGACGCTTTGGTAGCCAAGATGTCGACGAACTGGACGTATAGCTCCTCCAGATCGGTGTTTCCGCTCACCAGCCGATATTTGGTATTGAAGGACTTAACCTCCTCTTGTTCCTTCGTCTGCAAGAGGAAGTTTCCGAATAGCTCCATACCGACTTTTACGTTGCCGTAGCGTCGGACGTTCGACTCTACCAACGTAAGGATTTTAGACCTAAGGTGGTCCAAGAAGCCCTTAACGTCGGTAGGGTTAATGGTGGACGCCAGACGGTATGTAACTATGCGGTTACGGAAGGAGGTCTGTATCATTTCTACTCCTGGCTCCTGCACCACGCTGCATTTTTGGCGGTGAGCCAAAGTACGCAAGTGTCCTTGCCATCTCATTGCAGGAATGGTCAAGTTACACTGCGTACAATGGCGCGTGGATGATGGTGATGATGATGATGTCGAAGCTATAAAATACAATATGAGAATTGTTTGGGATATAAAATCAAAAATCCTTACCTTCCGGTAGGTCAAGTCTCGGGCGCTTGGGTTCGTCTGCAGCAATAGGGGCGGCGGCGGGTCTTTTCGCCTTGGGAACCTCATGCTTCTCGCGTTTATGGCGTCGGAGAGCCCCCTCGGATTTGTATATCCCGCCGCAAACGTCACAAATTTGTACTGCTGCGCGACAGTCCCCGTGCCTCGCCAGGTGGTCTTTACGGCTGAACGAGCGGTTGCAATATTCGCAGGTGAACATTTTTATTTGCTGCGAGGAATAGGCGTCTCACTCTCCAACTGTTCCAGATCTCTACTTGACACTTACCTTTTTTAAGTGGTGAAACACAAACAAAAATCCAAAGAATGAAGTCTCACTATGGCGGCGGTCACTTGTTAATTAAGCCAATTTTTCTGGGGTAATGAATTTAAAATTACATTCGAGAACGTTCCTTCAGAATAATTAAGATTTGTGTTGGCGAGAATTCCGCAATATAACGCGACCCGCTGATAAAATTGGTCGTAGTTAGCGACCTAACCTAACCAAACCGTCGTCGTATGGGGCCGCTTCGCTTAGAAACTCGACCGTTGGTCGCGGCGTGAATGTAAATTGCAGCGCGATTGTGTGCGATGACTCAGGCGTACCGCCGCCGTCGCGTTTCACAACTGGCTGATATCATTGCCCGCCGCGTCGTCGGTGTGCGGCAGCGGATGCATGACATCATCGCTTTGCGAAATGTTTAAACTAAACTTTGGCGGGTGAGATCATCGCGTCGCCTGCCTTCGCCGCAAAAAAAAAATGTTTTAAACGAGACTTTCATATTAGACCGCTTAGGAACGGCATACGTGTTTTCCTGCGACACAAGAAATGGTTTAATCGAAACGTTTGATATTCTTACCGCATGCGTTTCCTTCGACATCGAGTTTATAGTCGCATTTCCTTCGACGCGAACAAAAACGCAAAAAAAAAATCTCACTCCGTAATTTCATTTTGTCAGTATGTTATACTTTGCGTCACCAAAAATAATTATTCGATCGCAATGCGAAATAAACATTCCTGTTTAAAGAAGCAAAATGGTCCATATCTGTGTCGGACCTGTAGAAACCTGTTCCGTAGAGGTTTTGGGTCTGTTTAAGGCTGTCCTAGACCTGTTCGAGAGCTGTTCCATATATATTTTAGACCTAATTTAAATCTGACCAAAAGCGTCCTGGCTAACATTTGAAATAAAATAAAAATATTTTAACGCGATTTTATTTTTATATCAAAATACAGTTACTGAATATTTTTTCGTTTTTATACAATATGTCCTGGAGCCAAATTTTGGAAATATCCGATTTTTGCTTTGTATTCTTCCGCACGTAAGCGCAGTATTTGGAGATCGGCCTGAACAACTGCTATCTGAGTTTCTAGCTGCTGGATACCTTCTTCACATTGCATCAGCTGATTTTCCAAATTGTTTTTCAAATTGAACGCCTATCTTTTTTCGTTGTCATCTTTGAACGCCTCGAACCATTCTCCTTGTGCTTGCGGTAGAGATTCAATTTTTATTTTCTTAACTCGTGAATTTGCAGCAGTACGCTTACGTTTTGGAATATCTGTTGGTGGCTGCGAAGGCGGTGGACCCATCAAACCATTCTCTTGCAATAAATTTAAAAAATTATCCGGCAACACAATTTGTTCCATGTCTGTCTCGGACGCTCACAAAATCAAAAATAATAGAAGAAATTTATAGGATATTCGCGGTGTCGATCCATGAATCATGTGACTTGTCCAAGCCCAACCAGCGCACGAGAACCTTATTTCCTCGTTTGCGCAACACCTTTTCGACGAGATAGACGTCAGGGTTAATGGTTTTCTGCAATTCTTCCTGGTAAAAAGCGCCCATTACAGGCTTACCCTTCATATCTTCCAACAGATAAGTTACCGGATTTGTAATCTGCACTTTTACGATTTTAAACAATTCCGTGGTCCAGTTGGGAGTATAACCTTTGCTAAACACGTGCTTGGTCTTGCTGATTCTTACAACGTCGTCCAGTTTAAGTTTAGATGGTCCTACAATTTTCAAGTGACTGTACGCTGATTTCAGCAAACTAGGCGCGTTATCTTTGTTCACTTCTTTAGGTTTCATTCCGGTGGTCCTGTGCACGTTACTGTTATATTTTTCGACAACAGAGGATAAAACATCTATCCATTTGTAGGTGCCGTTTAACGAAAAATATCTAAATAATTTTTCCTTGAGAGTACGTATAACTCTCTCGGCTACGGCAGCTTTCACGTTGCTATATGTACTGTAGTGATTTATGTCAAACCTACCCGTCATTTTTTTGAAATGGATATTATAAAACTCTTTGCCGAGATCAGTTTGCAGATTTTGCGGCCGGCGTCCTTCTTTGAGAATTTGGGTAAACGCTTTGGTAACTTCAACACCGGTTTTTGTTTTTAACGGTCGACACCACACGTATTTTGAAAAGCAATCGATCACGACTAGTATGAATTTAAAGTTTTTATTTTGTTTCGCATATCGGTCTAGCTGAGCCAAATCCGCTTGCCACAAATCATCCAGCCCTCGTATTATAGTTCTGCGACGCGCGTAATTTCTGCGTGCCGGCTTGTGCAGCTCTCGGACGAGTTGTGCTTTCTCACTGCTCATTACTTTGTCGATTGCCCGTCAATTTGAATTAAACACCATTTTAAATCATTCATTAGTTGTTGTCGCTAACTGATTTATTTGGTCCAAACTCGTATTGTATTTGTTCACCCATTGTGTATATCGGTTTTGTTGTGGCAAAAGTTTATTAAGTTGGGAATTGATATCTGCCTGATAGCTCTTTAATGTCTTCTCAAGCTCTTCTATTTTGGATAAATGTTTTTCCAACTCCTTCATTGAATTATCGTATTTCTCGTTAAGGTGGTGATTAATGTGTGTACCAAATTTATTAATAGTCATGACAGCGGTTGTTACTCAAATAATTTTCTAACTCTCAGTCGTGCTTATTTTATAAGATAACTTTTCCCTCTCTTAGTTCTTCAATAATTGAAGCTATTTCGTTCTCATGTCCCGTGTGCCCCGCAGCAGTAGATGCCAATAACAGTCTTAATCTATCGACAAGCTCGTTAACATTATCCCAATAAATATAATCTGTATTTTCTTTATTTGATTTTAAAGTTAACCCCGTCCCAGTTTTGATTGTCCTATAAGGCGGAGGCACTTTAGAAAATGCGTCAGCTAGTCGTCTCACCGGGTTTTTTGTTTTTGTTATTCCTCGCTCCTGTAAATAAGGTCCAATTATATTTATATATTTATATGATGCATTTCCTTGCACTTGTCCATTAGGGTCATGGTTTCTCCGATACGCGTTTGTTCTTTTCAGTATATCCATATAATTATCTAGATCTTGCGATTTGAAACCGACCGGCACCTTCTTGAAAAGTAACTCATACAAACCCACAGTCCCAGGGTATGTAATACCTTGTACCTTCACATCTTTACCGACAATTTCCACAGCTTTTTGGGTTAAGCCCAGAAAAAATTTATCGTTTTCTATGTCATGAACGATACCATAATTATGGTCAAATATATGTTGGGTATCTTTTACGCTGTCATCAATGTATGTTCGTGGTAATTTATTAAAGTCATTCAACCATTGCTCGTAAGCGGGAGTGTCGACGTAATCCTGTATAGCTTGCTTAGTTTGTTCTAAAATATCTGACAGATTTCCCAACGTAGTATCGCTGTCCGAAAGACCCGTACTTTCAGCTACAACATTGCTTTGTTGTTGGATCGACGGAAAGGAGGTATCAAAAAATGAGGGCAATTCTGAAGGTAAGATTGGGGTTTTTCCGGTTCTTTTCTCCTTTATTTTGGTAGGCGTCGAGGTTAACACTTCATGTTTAATATTTTCTTTTTCTTCAAACGGTTCTTGTTTGATATCCGTTTTATTTATTGATGAAATTAATTGCTGCAGAGGCTGAGTTATCGGTTTATAGGTTTGTTCGAGTTGCGTCTGGGATTCACTTGCGGCTTGTTTTAGCCTTTGATATTTTTCTCTAACTGCGTTTCTTGATTTTATTAGCTCCGTCGCTAGGCGTTTATCCATTTTGGGATATTATATATAAATGAAGGAATCGAAGTTTTTCCTATATCTGCCCTTATCTAACTCACAATCTTTGTCAATCACAAGAAAATTATAAGGTTCGTTCCAGCAGTACACACAGATATTTCTAAACTGTTCAAATGACATGTCCAACATACAGTGATCGTTATATATATGCTTTAAACTCAGCATGTCTTGCTTGAATAAAATCAGAAGGTTGGCGTTTTCCCTGATAAGTCGCTTGAGTATAGAAGAATATCCTTGAAAAATAAAGAAACAATCGGTGTTTTTATGCCTACCGTGAGTGAAATAATCTCTAATGACACTTTGGTCGTGACAAGGAATATCATCAAATATTATAACAGAATTGGGTTTAATTTCCTGAGGAGAAACGATATTCTCATCGATCTCAAACTCAAAAAAGCCAATCTCTTGTAAAGGCTTTAGCAGTTCTCTCAAATACACGTATTTTGGCTGTTGCAGGGATTTGGAATATAAGTAAACGTTTTCAAATCTAATTCCATTAGGATGTTCGAGCAATGATAACATGACGTTGGTTTTACCCGAATTTGAGGGTCCTACAATTAGTGCCCTCTTGCAACTACCTCCAAAGAGATCGCCGTGCTTTTGAAATTCGCGGACCAAGCTTGCGTCGTGGTTTTTTACGGGTAAAGAAAAGGCTTGCTTAACAACTTTCATTTCGACTGAGGCATTAACAAGAACCTGCAAAAGTATTTATAGCATAATTCCTAAATATTTAAACAGTATTTCCAAACACTCTCATGATTGTACATCGAAACAGGGCGAAAGGTTCAGGATTGGTAAATAAACTTATAAACAAACTTCCTATCGAACTGCATATTCCTGGTTACCAATTCTGCGGACCGGGTACTCATTTACAGAAGAAAATAAATAGAGGTGATCCAGGTATAAATCCCTTAGACGCTGCTTGTAAAGAGCACGATATAGCATACTCTCAGTCTAACAATTTAACAAAGAGACACGAAGCAGACAAGATCTTAGAAGATAAAGGTTGGCAGAGGGTTAAAGCAAAGGACTCTTCGTTTGGAGAAAAAACAGCCGCTTTAGGCATAACAGGTGTAATGAAAGGAAAGCGAAAATTGGGAATGGGTGTTAAAAAAGCAAGCAAAATGAAAGCGAGCAAAAAAAAGCGTATTATAAAAACACCTAATAAAATTGGTGGATTTTTACCTCTTTTACTACCGATATTGGGAGCACTTGGCGCGCTAGGCGGAGGAGCGGCAGGTATCGCGAAAGCAGTAAACGATGCTAAAGCGGCCAAAGAGCAGTTGGCAGAACAAGAACGTCATAACAGAGCCATCGAAGCCCAAGGCAAAGGACTATACGTAAAACCGTTTAAAAACAGTAGAAGTGAAGGAAAAGGTCTTTATATTAAACCATATAAGGGCGGTGTTGTGTCGAAGGAGAAAAATACCCAAAAGAGAAAAAAAAAGTCCAAATAAATTTAC